CCCGACAGTTTCAGGTGGCCCGACGCCGTTTCAGGTGGCCATTGGCACCCGGGCCACCGTTAAAGTCGAGCCCTGCATGAACTTAGTCTAGAACCGCATACAAAGTAGAATAATATTGCCGTGAAATAGCACTATTTTCCTGTTTTCCCGTTGTACACTCTAGGTATTTATTAGCTCTTGATTATATGCTAAGTGTTAGGAAGTTATTGAGATTATGGGTTGAACGCACTAAACATGAGTAGTAGAAATAGTGGGTGCCTAAATGTAAGTGAGTGTAAAAGTAAGGGTACAGATTTTGATCATGAAATGATCAGAGCCTGTCATGTTGTCTTTGATGTTGATTTTGCAGTGAATGTGATAAATACTGCGGTCATACATTACAGATAAGCGAGTGAAAGACCGAGAGCGTGAGACAGAGAGACAAAAGGAGATGTCCTTTTGGGGGTTTAAATTTGAACAATACTTAACCGCAGGTAAGGAACAGATTTGTCATTAAATATGTTACGCAAAAAACCTTTCTTTAGATATATATGTATACTTTAATTTAAATGTATGTGATCAAGAGTGGATAATAATAAATTTTGTTCTTGGTTTGATGTACATGTAAATGTAACTTAAATCCTAAGTACACATCTTGAAATAATATTGATATTGTTTTGTAAATGCAGTAAACGTATATAGTAAAATTAATGATCTTACATTGTGAATCTAATTTGTTTACTTAGCTGTTTGTGTTATATTAAATAGTTATTTCAGCAAGGATATCTATGCTCGGGGGTCTATGCATAACAGTCGGTGTGTAATCGCAAGTTAACCGAAGACACTCCCTGTACAGGTGATCGACATATGAAACCTGACACCTCAAAGCCAGTGAATAACAATGAGGCGTATTGTACGGTTGTGCGCACCAGCCTGGCGTCGCACTCGTTACTGTTTGCTGGTGAGGTGGACTGCCTTGATGCCAAATCCAGCGCACCAAAACCGGGCTGTTACGTGGAACTGAAAACATCGAGAATGATTGAGCACCAGGGACATGATAGAAGTTTTAAAAAGTACAGTGAGTTTTGTGATTCTCCAATCTGAAGTATGCAGTAAGGTCTCATGCTGAAGCGTGTGTGAATCAGTCTAATCAGTAAATCCGTAGTTAAAAAATGTGCTAATACTTAATAGCATATAAGTTTATCATTAAATTCTCTTTTTATGATATGGAAGTGTTGTGTAAATGCAGCAAGTGGCACCCCCTTAGTTAATTTAAAAATTGACTGGCATTGTTCGATCAGGTTCAAGTTGATCAAGTGGTGGTTGCAGTCATTTCTCGTCGGCATTCCGCGAATCATCTGCGGATTCCGGACAGACGAAGGCGTCGTCACATCGTTGCAGGAATACGGTGTTGCTGACATACCGAAAATTATACGCGTGCGTACCATCTGGGCTGATCGCTTCACAAGGTCACAAGCGTAACCTATATATGTAAATCCTTGGATGTGTTGCTGCCAGTCACTCTCTGTTTGGTTTGATCCCTTGCTAAGGGGTGCATGATCAAAGATGAAGTAGGCCTGTAGGCCTGTGGTGTCATAATGTTTGTATATAGGTAAGAACATGGTGAAATGTTTCAGAAGTGATAAAAATCTGCCAAGTTTAACTTGTATGTAAATAATAATAGCGATGTCGGCAGAAGTGTGTGTGATTCTGTATGTTATTCAATATTTTTCTTTCAGAGCTTGGGATATTTGGCATGGCATCCAACGGCATGTGTGAACTTTTGTGATCATTTCTTGACGTTTGTGAAGACGGTTGTTGTTGAAGATGATTCAAGGTGATTTAAAGGGATATTTCCTCGAACTTTTAAGCGGCAAACATAAAATCAGGCAAAAATGAATTATTTTAACATTGCACGCTTCTACTGGCCTATATATGTGTGATAGGTGGAAAAAAATTGCTCAGGAATACGTTCATTCAAAGCTTTTAGACTACAAAGTGAAACATTCGGGTCGAATGTTTCAAACGCGTTTACCGTTGCCGCTATGCGGCGATTGTTCCGCTCCGCACACTTGCCGTGTTATGTATGTATGAACCATGCTATGTAAAATTATACACACTGGCAGGTTATGACCCAATGGTTTTTCTGGTCACGTACATGGCTAGCTGATAGGGAAAGTGCAACGTTTTTGTTGTTGGGAGATTATAGTATTCTGAGTGAGTTAACCAGTGAGTGAGTCGAGAGTTCTGTCAGGTTGCTGTTAGTTCGGATTACGTTTTGTTGGGTTTTTAGCACGTTCTATCTCGAAAACGGTTCTGGTAAAAATTCTGAAATTAATAACATAAACAGTCGAGGTGCCTCTCTGTCTAGACTACATGCAAAGTTTGATTTCATAAAATGATTTATATTAAAAGTTATGACGTATGATATCTGAAAGTGGCTACATTGATTGACTCGATTGAAATGATGGTTGCTCAAATATAAATAATATGGCACCTACGGAACCACGGCGAAAAGCGTTTTTCGAGTTCTTTCTTCGATGAGCAAATATAGGCTTGATACATATTTTTACAGTTTTACTTTCAAAGCTAACGTTCAGTTAAAGTGTAGTGAGTTATTTACTGACGTTTTTACAGTGGTTTGTTACACAAATTTACGTGGAAAGTTTGAGGGAAGCTACCTTTAACTATTATGACAAAACCAGTTATGTAGTGTATACCTTCACACAACATGATATCTGTCTAAATTTTATGGGCTGGCACGTGGTGGTAATAAGTGAAATTGTTTCACAAAAAAACCTCCATTTATGGGGCTCCATAATTCCTCAAGAATCTGTGCTCTAATAATGTTTACTTACAATATAAATTTTATCCACACTAGGTGGCAGCATATACCTTGCTGTAGACGTTGAGGTTACAAGTGGTGATAGATCGGTACATGCATCTGAGCATAATTTACTCATAATGCATACATTTTTCCTGCAGTGTTATCTACAAGTTTGAGTGGAGTGCGCAACAATTTGCACTAAGGTGGGAGAAACTGCACCAGCCCTCTTCATTTGGGTTTCTCCCCGATTGGTACATCGGTCTGCAGCATTAAGAATACAATCAGGGTTGGTAGGTGATTTTCAGTCGAAATGACACATGACCACTATTAAATCACTACCGGCTCATTACCCTGTTAGGTTAGGGGATGTGACGCGTCATCGGCCGACCAATTGGAGGGCCCGCAGCTCGTGCACTAAAGCTGACGCGATGTTTTGTGGTTGCATTATTTAGGCTGGCTATCGTGTGTGGCAGTGACATGCACATGGAGGTGGATGGATGGTTACTGGTAATTTAAAACAAATTCTTTCAATGTATGGCCCCGATTCGACTGCGCGACTGTTTTTCAGGCACAAATGTGGTGTCGGTTAGTAAATTCGCGATATTTAAAAAAAACGCTGGACAACATATTGTAGTCGCTGGATAAATTCGGCTGCCAGACAACTGTGCACTTATAGATGATTGCTATATGTGCCGTGAAATGTGTGAATAACTTAGAAACAAAATAAGTAAGTAGAAGGTAGAATTGGTAATCGTTTACAACTGCCGTTTCACTGTATATTATATACTCACTAAAACACGTACAAATCACAAAGGGTAAACTAAAGGTTGCGCACTACACACTAAAACTAGCAACAGACGCGGGTGAACACAAGAGAGCCCCGTGTCTCCTGTGCGGCCTGTTTTATACCCCTTCTTGCAAGATGAGCCGCGATGCTACTACCAAATATGTTCCATCCAATCACTGCTGGCTACAGGGACGGCATAGGGTTTTGGATTAACGGCTATGGTCAGTCCTTAGAGAGGTACGGAGTGGACGGCCAATGGCGAGTAAGGAGTGGAGAGGTTTTTACGCCCCCTCGGCCACGTAGGTGACCGACGTGGGTATGACGTAGAGTGGACGATAGATTACGGTAATGGAGTGGTAGCGGCCGTATAGAAATAACTTCAGGCTAATGTGTGTATTTTACTCGCCGAAAGCTGACCAGTACTATGGGCAGTGATGCGGCTAATGTGTGTATCTAAGATGTTATTTGCCGACCCGTACTAATGGCAGTGATGCGGCTAATGTTTGAAGTTTAACAGAGCTAAGCATAATTACGTGGGTATCTCTCCAGTGTGGAACTAATTTTAACAGCTGTTTATGTGTCCGGCGGATAAATCGGTCTTTCAGCCAGCTGGTGGGGTGGAATGCCATTAGCGTTGCTACAATATGTCATAACTCTCATGGTGCACAGCTGAAGTACATGGCTACCTAGCTTTAATATTGCCACTCGGCCGAAAACGGTCGAAATACTATTTTTCAGCTCCTGAAATTCAATTCTTAAGTATAGGATCCTATGGAGGATTTAATAGTGGTCTGTTCTCTGTCACGCTGAAAAAATGTTTCCGGAAATTTTCACATTTTCAAATATTAATGACCTGCGAGTGCGGGGCAGTGAATTTTCACTCGTCTTCTCGTGCCTACTGCTGTGCAGGAAGTCGTAGAGTGATATTTATTGTGTAGATTGCGCTAAAGTTGGACTCGGAGAAGTTAATGTGTGAGTTGAGAATAAATCTGGCGACATGTTGTAGTGAAAGAACAGCACATTAGCAAATAGAAACTTTTTATTGCAAATAACGAATGCATTCTAGTTCGTCTCGTCGCGGCTAATAGTCTGCGAATAGTCCTGCTATTGCTAAATTCTACTGCTAAGACGTTGTACTTGTATCATTGTATCAGGTTTTCTTTCTAATTCTGTCATTGAATGTCAATCCTATGATATTTTTAGGGAGCTGAGGTCGCATGATCGTATGATTGCCAGTCATTGCATCTACCACCCAAGGAGGCCTATAGGAATCGATATATCGGCACGCAGCGTAATTGCCGGCATAAAGAGACACTGTGAATTCAAGAATGATGCTTGGGTAATTCTCATACAACATTCGTGTCTGCCACGAATTAATTAGCATTGTTTATTGCGTGAAAAGTGGCTTTTGTGGCTACACTGAACACTCTGTGGCCCAGTATTTGTCCATCTGCCTGTCTGTTGCACCCATTCAAGCATCAGCTAGACGAATTTTGCATGAGTTACAGCCTTGAAATGAACTTGTCCCAGATGTATTGTTTTATTAGAACAAGTCTTAATATAAAAACGGTCCATGATGTCGATCTCTTCGCCAATAGTGTCTATCCGCAGCAAAGTGGAACAATTAAAGCGATGATTTTTGTTGGGTGAACCAACTTGGATTCGCCTAATCTCCGAAACTGACTGTCGCCTTTGCACAAATTCTATTCCAAATGAAGCGTAAATGCCTATTCTTGAGATATGATAAAAATTGCCTCCAGCCATCATTGTTGGAGCACGTAAATAGAACGTCTACCAATAGCACTATGATGTGATAGCGCTGCCTGGTGTACAATTCCCACAGCCGCTTCAATCGCTATAAAAAAAATAACCGATTGCTTCCGAGTGCTAATTTTTTGCATAGCAGACAACAAGACATGTCGCGTTCGTTTAGCATCAAATTTGACAAAAAAATCCCTTTTATTTTCAGAAAATTATTCAATCCAATGCAAAATCAATGGGCCTAGTATTCCTTTAAATAGTGAAGTCATGAGCACGCGCTATCCCAAATAATACTGCCTGCCACCCCAGCATGCGAATCAGAAAGGCTGTTGCAGCTGTTTTGATCCACTGTTGCTACGAGCGTTTGTGTACATAGAGATGATAACATATTAATTAGTGGGCGGTGAACAGGAGATTGAACCAATTAAGTTATTTTTTCTATTTATTTATAACAGCAGGACTTTTTAAAAGTGTTTTGATGTTATACGGTCACAGATAAGTCGCAGTAAGTACTAACAGTAGCAATTCTACTTGGGCTTGGTCAATTCTTAACACAGCCGTTCAATCATTTCGAAATATAGAAAAGTGCTAATATCTCCATTGTTAGAAATGCTAAAGTTGCTGATATTTCAAAAGCTATTCCTCAAAACTGACAACTCCGATTCCAAAAATGGTTATTCCGTTTTAATGCTAACATATGAAAGGAAAAAGCAGTCCCTGGAATTTTTATGAAATATTATATTTTAGAAGTTATGGCTCTTTGTTTACGAAATTGTTGTTTTAAAAATCATTGCAAATTTTTCTGCATCTTTTCAACTTATTTCCTATAATACTCTCCAGGTTTTAGGCAAAATTTTACCGATTTTTTCATTTTCATTCTTATTCCGTGGCTAACAATACGTGCCGCCTCTGTACATGCTCATTTCTCCACATAACGATACATGTAAACTTTCAAAGCATTTTGATTGCCCGCGTACACGTATAGTGAGCTGCAGCTGACGTCATTGATGACATCAGAGACATGATATAACCAGCATTTTCACGATATTCACTAAGCCAGTATCATTCAGGGATTGTTATTAAGTGCTGTATTTTATGTGTTAAATGCTTCCTTATTTGGAAAAATGTTCAATTCAAACGTGCGACCTAAATTTTCGGCAGTTTTTTTTTCCGGTAAATATAAAGCTTAAAGAAAATTCCTGATGCGCTTTTTTGATTCATATTGTGCTTAACTTGTGGCAAAAATTTGTGCTTTCTCACTCTGTGCCGTGGTAATTGAGAAATATCCAAAATACCATTTTTACATAAAAATTCAAAATTTGTGTGGTAACATAATTAGGTGCTGGAAATTGTATGAAATTTTTTGGCTTGCGCATATCGATACATCTCATCTATAAATAAAACGTGTGATTGATTCGATTCATTCATCAATAAACGTTTACTTTTTATTAGAGCAATACCCGTGCAACAGGTAGAGTATCCTTAAAGCATTTAAAAAAATTCCAGGGACCGTTTTTTAGTTCATACTATGAAAAACTTATGGCTAACGGTTTAGGTCCTAACTCTGCTGACTGAGAAATAAGAAAAAAAGCATATTTTAAAATAAATTCACAATTTTGCCGAGAGCATAGAAGAGAGACATCTCTTTTATGAAATAGTTATGTGTTTGATTGAATTTGGTGAGCAGTTATGTTACTATGCCCTTTACAGCCTACAGGGGCACCTGTCTGTAACCCTGACTGTATCCTTAAAGTTGATAAACCTCGCAGCTAAATGCATATATATACCTACTGTGAGCTTGCAAATGTTGCAAAAATTTACTAAAACTCATTTGTATTGCTACTTTCATAACATTTCTTCTCAAAATCTAAACGAAATTACTTCTCTTATGAACGTAGCACCACAGTGATGTTTACACATCCGGGACACATCGGAACGATCGGCTCGATTCATTAACAGTTCCTTTCTATGACAAAACAAGTTATAATTCATTATTCGATGTTTATTCAGTACAAAATTTTGAAATTTGTTTAAATCATATCGTTATCTCTATTACTTATGCAATCAGGAAACAAATATAGTGTTTTCGTTCCAGGAACTATTTGCGCTAGCGTAGGGCTACTGCTAGCTATGTAACAAAACCACGTCCGACAGTTTTCAAAATAGTCAACTTCGGAGCACACTTCTGGCTCAATGAGAACATTTCGTGATGGTTGCACACTGCAAGTATGTTCACTGTAGGTCTATAAGATCTTTTTGTTGCGAGGTTTCTCCGTTTTAAGGGGGTTGTGTGCCGAATGTAGTGTAGGGGAGAATGCACCTCTTCTGCATTGATCTACTGTATTCTGTCAGATTTTAGATGTTAGGAAAAAGCAAAAAGTGGTAGTGACACTTTCTCGAAGTTTGTAAATCGAGGTTTATTGCAACTGAGATGAATATTCCCTTGTATTAAAAGAATTTTAAGTGTCTGTGATGTGGTATTTGATCCATGGAGGATTAATTGTGAGATGGTGAATATCAAAGCGAAATAAAGGTGATTTGCGTCAATTACAGTGTTTTTAAATCTCAGGTTTTAACGATTGGTACAATGATCACGAAAAAATAATATCATTTTTCTTTAATTCCATATATTTTGACAAAATTCAAATTACATTGTTTACTATTACAATTTCTTAGCTAAGAATTTAAATCAGAGGTAAGGTGACAATCTAACACTTCCTCTAAGAATACAAAATGATTTATCATCATGCAATATTTTATATTATATATGTTAATTGTTATATTATATCTATATTTTGTACTACTAATAATAATTAATGTCTTCCATATATATTTGATCTACGGTATGCATCACCACTCTGAAAAAGCTACCATATAACTATTGGTTTTCACGACCATAGGCAACCACAGAAACTTAGTTCAACAAGGCTAACCAGATTTAAGTATTGATCAAACGATCACGTTTATATAAATTCTGAGTCTTTGAAGTTACTATTTACTGCACTTCGTTCTGGTCTCAGATGCAGCAGTGCTATTCTGCAGAGTGTTAACCCGACGATGGAACCTGCCGGTGTCCCTTTTTGAATGCAACTGCGCACTTTGGGCTTACCATTTTCATAGTGATCTTGTCCAGCCAGGAGTCGGGCAGGTTCAGGGCGATTGCAATGCGCAATCTGATAAGTGCGCTCGGCATATAGCGGCTCTGTGTGTCCTTGGCAGTCACCGCGTGCATCATGTCCTCAATGACCTGCCAAGATCCACACCACATGATTAACATTACGTTGCCACCGTGCTGTTCAATGGCACTGCGAAAGATCCTATCCTCGCATGCACTACGTGTTCCCGTGCAGTCCTCGTTTTGGGTTAGTGATTAGTATTATTTGGCTATGGCACTTCCACCACTCACTGCTCTACATTATCCATATCCTTCTTACATCCTAAGCCAGTGCTGCCACTCGGGATATTACAAAAAAAGTATAAAATCTGTCCAGAAAAAAATATCCAAATTGTCTAAAAAAAGTATTAAAACAGTATAAATTTGTATCAACCTGCCATGATTTGTAGTCACTTGTTACCGAATACATTATAGCCTATGTGCAGCATACAAACAAGCTTCAGGAAACGAATGATGTGTGCAATGCCATGAGGAGTTGTCTCTTGAACCCTCAGTCTGGAGTATATCAATGCAGTGTTTCCCCTGGCCAAAAAAGTCTGTGAGGTGGTAAATGTTTTTTGTGATGTGTTTGCGCATTTCGAGGTCCTAGCAAAACAAGCAGCGCAGGTGCTGCCCAAGCTACGGTGGTCCAGGGGCAGGCTCCCCCAGGAAATTTTTTGAAAAAATGGTGCAATTTGGTGCATTCTACGCTATTCTGAACACATTGTATGAGACTCTTGAAACTCTTTTTCAAGTTGTCAAAAGTTTCGTCAGTGAGGCGGTGTTTTGGACAAATTTCTGTGAGGCGGCTGAGAATTTTAGTAAGGCAGCCCGCCTCGCTCGTGTCAATGCAGTGGAAACACTGTAATGCGCATTTGACATTTGGTCACTGACAGCAGAGAGCTGAGATCAAAAACACTCCACTGAACAGAGCACACATCATTTCTGCAACAAGACTAGCAAAGCACATCTTTCATCTCATCAAATACAGTGTACCTAAATGTATGTCCGAAGATTTTTTTGACCATCTTTGGCAAAAAAAGTACTTAAAAGTATTTATGCATGATAAAAGTATGAAAAAAGTATAAAAAGTATATTTTCTTAAAAAAAGTACACTGTATAATACGCTTAAAAAAGTATAAAGTGGCAGCACTTCTAAGCGCATTTCTTGTGAACAGAATACCGCCGATTTGCCATCATCGCCTCGAGTGGGGCAAAGATGGCAGCACTGCAGCATGGCTTACCTCATAGACATTGTTACTGGTGTACGATTGAATATTCGAGAAGACCTGATTGTAGGCCTGGTAGTAGTCTTCTCCATAGGCCTCGCGTATGCTGGCCGGAGTCTCCTTCCACAAATGCTCAGCTAAAGACTTGATGTCTGTTATGCTGGTGATCGGTGTTCTAAAAAAAACATTACAGGAATGAGAGGGTGATGTGAGTTGCATGGGAGTGTTATTGTTCAGCAAAACGATCGGTTTTTCATTTCCACATCCTGCTTATTTCCACAACCCTAACATATTTATATGCAATTATTTTACATTACCAGAAAGGTTAGCCATAACTAGTGCAGTCATATAATTAATTTTCCCCTAGAGACAACTGATGCATCAAAATTGGAATCATTTTCTAAATTCTTATTACCTGTACAGACTAGGTTCAATGGTGTGTACCGATATGCCCCACTTCTTCATCTCCACCCTCAGCGCATTGGCAAAGGATATAACTGCGTGCTTAGACATTGAATAAGCGCTGAAACCAGCGTAAGTCATGCGCCCTACAATTCAAAGCAAAGGGGCAGTCTTTAATTATTTATAACAACATGCTTATATGTTATAGAATAGTCATGGTCAGGCTCACATCAGGAAGAATGCCACATGCGAAACTAGTTGGGCATGCTGATTTATAGGACAATAGGTTCCCACCCTCCTTTTATGAAATATTTGTAGCATTTAGATGCATGCTAATATCAGAGTAAACGGAGGTAATGTACAAACTGGTGAGGCTGCGTGGCTGCATGGAGTGTGATTAATTCGATTAATGGAACAAAGATAGTTATACTAAGTAAAGCTACCAGAGAATATGTTGAGTGGCCTTTTTGCCAACATAAATAATCAATACATAATAAAAATTAATAACAAGGAACTAATGGACTGGTAGAATGAGGTGAAAGCCGTCTGATTATATTGAGAGATAAACCCGGTTTGTTGTGAGGAGGCAATGCCTTGGTTCTAAAATATTCCAGGGAGGCTGCACTACCTGTATTGACACCCCATAGTTCAATAAAATTAAATACATGAAGATGGTCTGGTGCTATATGGCTACACACCTGCAACACTGGCGACGATGACAATGCGGCCGGCGGACTCACGCAGCAGTGGGAGAAAGGCCTTGGTGACACGCACCGTTCCCATCGTGTTAACGGCCATCATGCGGTCATACCAGTCCATCGGGCACAACTCGACCTCCGATATCACCGCTATGCCTGCGTTGTTCACTATCGCCCATAGCTCTGCAACCAAGGTCATTGCACAATTATACTGTTGTAAGAGCAGTAGTAGTATTGAAGTTGACAAGATATCGGGTTGCATTGCCATGATGTTATTAAGAATTTTTATGTTGAATTTCATCACACTGATGTCACACTGACCCAATCATCATTTTACATCATCCATCAACATCATCATCAATTACATGTGATTTCACATGTAAACATGCTTTGACCTGATTTTATTTGGGGATATCATATACCATTTCCATTTAATGCCTGCTGGACAGCGGTCAGCGCCTCGTTGACGAGCTGTTCACTTGTTACATCTACATGAACAACCTGTAGTTTGTTCGAGCATGTTTGTCTAAGACTGGTGGCGCCCTCCTTCTCAGGCAGGAGGCAGCCCGCGAATACATGGAAGCCAAGCTTGTCTAACTTTATTGCTAGCTCATGTCCAAAGCCCGTGTCACAACCTGAAAATAGCAAAACGATTATGGATATCAGGGTTCTTGTTAACTTTTGACAAAGCAGGTAATTTGACAATGAATAGCAGGTAACTGTTTTTCCGGCACGGACGGTAGGGCGAGCGGCGAAGGCGCGAAGTCCTGCTAGGGGGGTCCGGGGGCATGCACCTCCGGAAAAAAAATTCTGATTTGACCCACAAATAGCCTATTTTGATGGGTATGGGTTCTAGAATTTGGTAGTTTAGATAGGAAAATATATGCTATTAAGTATCTATTATAAAAAGAAAAACCCGCCCGTGCACAGAGTTAGTCGGTTGGAAGTATTTAAAATAAACTTCGTTTTTTCAAATATAGATTAAATATTTTACCGCCTTTAGTGGGAGTTTCTCAAATTGATAGCCGGTAACAAATTGCGCGATAGGCGGTAAAAATAACCGGTTACCGGCTATTAACAAGAACCCTGGATATTATGTCATGACATGAAAGTCGAAAGAAATATAGCCTTTGGCATAGTCTGTTGATCTAGATATGCATTTTACTTTCAAATTAGCATGGTATTCCTGCATTTCCGTGTAATTACAGAACCTATGTAATCATCAGTTATTGGAAAACAAAAAGTAATGAGCAATAGCATGAAAACACATCAGGAGTGTATAATAGGGATATTATATTACCCTATTATGATCCCTATTATGATCCCTATTATACACTCCTGAAACACATGTATCTATTCTCTAGAATACATACATATGTTCATGCCAGCAATAAAGGCCCCCGCACACGGTGCGAATTCGTGGGCACGCCAACGGTGCTGAGCTAAACGCGCGTGCCATTTGCACACGTAAACCAGCCTGCACCATGTGCGGTAGATAACAGCTAGGTAGGTTTAACAGGTAGATAACACTAAGTTTCATGGTTGCCATTATTCAAGGGCGTAGATAGTGTGTGTGGGGGGGGGGGAGGTATACTTATTGAGGTGGGGTTGGCGTGTACAATCACCCTCCCCCCCCTACTTTCAGGAGGAAAATGGGGACAAATTTCATATTTTACAGACAGTAAATACTGAACAATATCTACAAATCCGTCATCGCTATTCATACTCTCATAATGTATTATTACACAAAATGGGAAGTGACATACATCTACTGTAAAATGTCTGCAACTCGTTCCAAGAACGACATTATTTTACTGAAACTCAAGACGGTTAATTTTGGACGCATTCCCCGGTAGGATTTTTTTTCAAAATCCCAAAATCACGTCTTAACACTGCTCACGAAAGTTAAATCCCTGCTTTATTCAAAACTAGCTGGGCTACCCGGCGATGCCCGGGATTTTTTGGGGGTTACTGCTTTTCTGCTATTTCATGCGTTTAGCTGGGCTACCCGGCGATGCCCGGGATTTTTTGGGGGTTACTGCTTTTCTGCTATTTCATGCGTTTTCTGCTATTGCTTGCGTTTCGGCATTTCATGCGATTGCCTGATTTTGAGCCTGACTATAGTTGAGCGCTATAGGATTGAGCTGTTTACTTTTCTGCTGCGTTAGGATTCGTCTCGACTTTTCTGCTGCAGTGTATAGTCGAGCGCTAGGATTGCTGTTAACTTTTCTGCTGCGCTAGTATTTTTTGGGGGGGAAATCTGTTGTTTGTTTTTTTTGCCCTTATTTTGGCCTTTTTGTGCAAATTGTTTTTGGCCTAAAATGGTCGTCGCGTCATGCTGATTGAGAATATACCGCACGGGTTACCTCTTACTGGTCTCGAGAAGACAGACAGACAGATAGATCCGGCGATTTATTGTAGGAGATGAATACGAAACACTCGAAGTTCAGCATTTATACCTATATGGTAGTCGTCTACGACGCTTTCGTTTCTCCTTCGAAGCTAATAATTCGTTTATTGTCGCTGTAATTCGACAATAGAGCTACAAAATACAGCTACAATAGAGCTACAAAATGCGAACAACACCGCGAAAACGCGCACTCGATGCAGTAGGGGGGTATATATATAGCGCCACCGCGCGGACATTTATTAAAATAATAAATAATTTTAATTGTAATTTGACACTTTTATTTTGTGTATTTTTTTTGGGGGGGGGCCTTATAAATGGTCGTCGCGACATGCTGATTAAGAATATATATATTGGTGTTGGGGGTGACCTCTTGCGGGGGGGGGGGAGAAGATAGAGCCCCAGACAGACCGAAAAACAGACTCGCCCTTTATGTAAGAGATGGCCGGTAGGAAAGAGTATTTACCTATCATATCTCGCGAACTATATGAGCTACGTTTCTAGAATTCTACATGCATAATGATACATGTTTTAGCAATAATCTGTGTGAGTGTCGAGTTTATTGACGCACGATTAGCCTAATTAATTAGCTGTTATTCACGCGCGGTAATGCCCATCTAGGCTTATGCAGGCATAGTAGGTGTATGGCCGGTAGGAAAGTGTATTTACCTATAATATCTCGCGAACTATATGAGTTACGTTTCTAGAATTCTACATGCATGATGATACATGTCTTAGCAATAATCTCTGTGAGTGTCGAGTTTATTGACGCACGATTAGCCTAATTAATTAGCTGTTATTCACGCGCGGTAATGCCCATATAGGCTTATACAGGCAGATAGTACGGGTTTAGCCGGTAGGAAAATGTATTTACCTATCATATCTCGCGATCTATATGAGTTACGTTTCTACAATTCTACATGCATGATGATACATGTCTTAGTAATAATCTCTGTGAGTGTCGAGTTTATTGACGCACGATTAGTCTAATTAATTAGCTGTTATTCACGCGCGGTAATGCCCATATAGGCTTATACGGGCGCTGCTATAGCCC